CTCTCAAAATTTTAGCTCCTCAATGTTAATTGAATTTGGCAAATATTTATTAATATCTCTTTTTTTACTAAACTTTTTTTATTTTTTCTCTCACATTTCGAAATTTAGGTTCATTCCAAATAAAATTTACCCATTTTTTGTGTTTTATTTTTTAAATTTCTCTTTTTAAATAATTTTTATAAATTTTTCAAAAAAACTTTTGAATTATAACCTATAAAATTTTTACCATCATCATAAAGTAGGTGTATTTTTAAGCATATCTGCAAAAAATTAGACTTTTTATTTAAAATTTTTTAAGGTATAACACGATTTACCTATTTTCGCGTTTTGAAATTTGGCATCCTTTTTTTTTTGAGCGATAATAACGCCAAATGTGGCCTATGGATTTTTGTTACACTGAATTGCCACAGCTATTTTTAAACTTAAATTTCAAGTAAAATTTTACGGAGAATTAATTATATGAAATTTTTTCCCACAATAAGGCATAATAAATATTTATTAATACTATATGAAAATCTATTTTTTAAATTATAGATGATATTATTCAAATTTTTAACAATTTTTTTTTAATTTCTCTCTTTCTTCCTTTTTTTTAAAAAAAATAAGAGTACGTTTTTCTAAGAGTAAATTTTTACCTTCGGTGTTTTATCGTCTGCTACTTTACTTCGTTTAAATCGAATTGTCTAAAACTGAGAATTTTCATTTAATGTTTATTTGAATTTAATGAAAATATTTCATGACATTAACTGCATAATTTATTTCTAAACAAACTGTTGCTTTTGAAGTGGCTGAAAGAGCGGCAGATACTATCATCCATATTTTTAAAGCACAGTATATTTTTATAGAAATATAAGATTTAGAATAATCATTTTTATAAAAGTCAAATTATGATATAAACATACAACCATGTAGAGACTGAATTAATGGAAGTTCAATGGTTATGTAGAAATGATCTGCAGCTACTTAATGGCTGGATAAGTCAGCAGATTCTGAGGACAAGCAAGAAGAATTATATAAACGACACCCAACATTCTGTATTTTTGTATTTAACACAACGTTACACATGGGGAAAACCACTAAAACGCCCACGCAGCCAGCCCGTTCGCGGGATTCGAACTTCCGACCGAACTGCCAGTGCTCAGCGTCTTTACCGCTCGGCCGCTGGTGGGCTATTTAAATTAAGGAAGACCATCTAAATTTAGAAACAGCGTACCGTAACAGCAATTCAATTATTGGCGCCGTATCTTTCATGTTACTCCCGATTGGCAAGCTACATGATTTTTAATGAGTATTCGGGTTTTGCTAGTAACTTCATTTGGAAATCACACTTAAAATAGGTTAGTTGGTTATTTGAACATAGAAAGAATATGGGAGCTATTTGGTTAAGATGCTTTCCTAGAGAACCTCTGTAAAGAGAACCTAGAAAACTACGAAAACCAACCATGCAAAACCCTGGGTTAGACTTAGCAACAAAAATTAGTATTTAACAATCTTCAAATGCTAGGCAATTGGTGAGGCTCCAATTAAATCTCCAATTTAATATTTTATTTGTAAATATTTAAAATATTGTTGTATACTTAGACACAAAAAGCAGAACTACCAAGCCGTAGTGCAAATGAATATTCATTTTCTTTTGCAATAATTGTATTCACTTAATATTCTTGGAATATGAGCTAAAGAAGGAACGTTCTTGGAAGATTAAAGAAGTGTTTAAATCCAGTGATATAAGGTTTGTCTTAGAAGCTCAGGATCAAAACGATTCTGCAATTGCCCAGTAGTTGACTTGTAAATGGTTGTGAATTAAGCAAATGACTTTTAATCTTACGTTTTCAGTCAGACAACGTATTCCAAATGTTTTGTATTGCATGACAATGCATCTTTTCATTATTCAATAACCAGTCGGAGAACCGCTTGTGTTCCAAAAATAAGTATGTGTACTCAATCGTCCTGTGCATGTTTTTCAAATTTGTCTTCTTGTGATTTTTTTTCTTTCCCAAAAAATAAAGTTGCCTCTCAAAGGAAAGTTTTTTGATATTGAAGAGACAAAAGGAGTATGACATCTACTTTTAGAGAGGCATGTCAAAAACAGATCTCTACAAGCCTTCTCTTCCATTACATGTTGTGCAGTCAGACAAAAAGTTGCATCAGCGTAAATTCTATAATCTATTTTTATAACACTCTGATTACTTTACTAACATACAGTGAATATATACTAAATCTTTTACTCAGCTTAAGTAATTCGGAATTTTTGACGGAATTGTTGTCGGAACTAGGACTTAGAAGATAGGTCATATTGAATATTTCGATAATCCAATAAATTCAAGGTCGAAGTTTCAATATTTTATTTTCGGAGGGAAGAGGGAATTTTTTCAGTTTTGTTCCATTATCCTAAGTATATTTGCTTCGATTCTTTATTTTTTCTATAAAAGCGGAAATCTTACGCATGGTATACATATAACGCATAGCTTCAATTAAAATTTAATAATATACAGGATGTAGTTATAATTAAAATTCCACATTTGAAGAAATCATAAAACAAAAACTACTAGGATCAAAATGTTTATCAAACTTGGTAATCCTGTAAAAAGGAGGTCATAGGGAATTTATTTTCCTGTGAAAAAAGGGAAAGTTCCAAACCTCACCACCAGGGAGGAAAATGGCGCTGTATGCAATATTTTTAAACGAAATATGGGTCGAAATCTAACTTAACCTTTTGTTACACAGGTTTAATATGTTGTATACCCTTAAGAAATTTTGAAGTAAGCAAATTACCATTTAAAGATGTTAAAGTCGGTTAAAAGTCGAGTGCGCCATCTGTGTAAGTGGTAAGGGAGAGAAATTCGTCCGTGAAAACCACGAATTAGCGATTAGAAAATGTGAGATCGCAAATCACTCGCACAAGTGCGTACAATCTGGAAATCGTTTTTCTTACAGATCGCTAATTTGTAATTTTTTGAAGCCTGAATTCGGGCCTAAAACATGAAGATACTGATTCAAAACGCCTTTTAATCGATTTGGGCCAAAGGAAATCCCTCATGTTATCTACCTAGTTTCCATTGCATTCTCCTACTGCATTCGATTGCATGGTGTGGAATGACAGCTAGTTTTATAACTGAACCATTTTTCTCTGAAGAACAGTCGACAGCTGGACTACTGTGATTTCAGCTCACTTAGAGTCAATGTTAAAATGTTTCGTGATACATGAACTGCAGTAACGTGGCATTTTAGATACTACGATTTTTATGCATGGCTGGGCCCCACCTCACGTGTGTCGCACACTTACTTAGGCAACATTTCACGAATGAACGTCTTATAGGCCAACACTTCCCCCTCTTCCCACCAGACCTCAACCTCTGTGACTCTTTAGGCTATGGGGTTTTTCTCGCAAAGCACTGTTTATGGTGATAATCTAAACAATTTGGCAGAAATGAAAAATGTTAAACACTGACATGTCCGTAACATTCCTCCTGATATGCTAAGAGCTGCTGTTGAGAATGCAGTAACAGGATTTAACTTGCTTTTCGGAAAAATGCTGGACGCTACATTGAACATGCTTTGTAACACTGTTCGTCGGAAAATATTAAACACAATTTTCAAACAGATGTTTTCGATGTCTTATTTCATTTAAGAATCTTGTATACAGCGTCCATTTTCCCCCCCTGGTGGATGAGTTTTTTTAACTCATTTTTTCCGCGCGCGCGCTGGAAAATAAATTTCCCATAACCTCCTTTACACCTACACGATTCCCAAGTTTGATAACATTTGGTACGGTAGTTTTCCTTTTATGAACCATTTCAAATTGGAACTTTAATTATAACCACCATGTAAATTAAACTTTAAAAATTTACAGTTTGGTTCAAGTCCCAGCTTTAAAAATATATATATAAATATAATCTTTTATATTAATCCTCTTAGAAAGAATGTTTTTAGGAAGCTAATTTTTCTCTCGCGTTATAGATTGTATAAAAAAACATGACCTTTAATATGATTTAGATTGTTTCAGCCGATATAAGAATCAGGTTACTTGGTGGTACAGAATTAACCCTGCTGGACTGTTTTATTTCTTTTTCATTTAGCAAAAATCTTTTAATTAAAATATTTATCCTTTGGACTTCGCTTTTTTTTATTTATAGTTAAAATGACTAGAAAATGAAAAGCTGTCTTCAGCTGAAATGCAATTCATGTAATTGATATTTTAAAAAATTAACAAGAAAGCAAAATTTATAGAAGTCTAGCAATCGAAAAATCTTAATTTTCTTGTGTGTGCACACTGAAAATAACTGTAGAAGGAAAGAAGAAAATTAGGGAGAAAAGTAAGCAAAAATTTGCAGGGAATTTGGCTGTCAGACATACCAAGATGTTTCAAAAAGTTGGATGCTTTTGAAGATACTTTCAGGATACTTCAATGAATTTAGGTGTTCAAAGAAAAAACACTTGGACGTGTACACCAGCAAATACCATCAATTGAGCTTGTGGTTAACAGAAAAGACAATATGGTTGTATAAATTTAAATTACGCAGGGTTGCCACGCTACCTGGAAAACCGGGAGAACCGGGAAAAGTCAGGGAATTCGAAAATTGACCAAAAAATTCAGGGAAAAGTCAGGGAATTTAAGTATTTTTGTCAAAATCTGGAAAAGTCAGGGAAGTTCATACAGTGATCCCGCCAAAAAAAGCGATTTTTGCGCCGACGTCGGAAGAGATAACTTTTTTAGCGAATTGCCTATCACGTGAGTGTCTGCTGGCATAGAGCCAATTTTCGCAGCTCCAATTTGATTGCCTTTTAGAAAGGCAAAGCAAGTTTCCCGCAATGGTTTGGTTTCCAGTATTCTCGAGAATCGCATGTGCAGTGCATGAACTAAAGAAAGTACCTGTTCTCGTATAAAACAAAATGGGTTTAATCTTAGCATACGGTACCATGGAGGTTAGAATCAAAGAATATGTATTGTAAAGAAGGAGAACCTCTCTGCAACAGACGTGGCTCCGTTCCATCATAGAGGGAAACAGCTGTGCATGCGTGATATATCTGCCGCCAAAGCTGGAAACCGGTGTCGAAGGTCACGTTATCAAGAGTTCATTAAATGAATATCCTTTAAAATTTCTTTAACCACTTGCGCTAAAAAGACGTGCCACGCACGTCGAGATGTTTTTGTTTCAAACTGCGAGCGACGTGAACACCACGTCGATAAGCATTTATCGCAAAAATGAAAATAACATGGTGCACACGTCGCCTAACAGCGAGATTGTTTATTTCTCGAGTTACAGCTCTGGATTGCACTCGCAGATGCGGAGCGGCGTAAATGAGACTGTGTGTGTGTGTGATTATGGCAAAGCCTCGAGGGCTATCTCGCCTAAGAGGAGGGGTGCCTTCGTGGAGGACTTTCTAAGGGAAACTGGCTCGTATACACGTTACACATGGGGAAAACCACGAAAACGCCATGCAGCCAGCCCGTTCGCGGGATTCGAACCTCGGACCGAACTACCAGTGTTCAGCGACTTTACCGCTCGGCCGCTGGTGGGCCGTAAATGAGACACTTTACCACTTGCTATATTGTAGCGCACGGCACCGCAACCGTGAAGTTTAGTCTTAGCGCAAGTAGTTAAACTCTAATTAAAGAAAATATTTCTAGTTAAACTCTAATTAAAAGAAATAGTTTTTGGCGCAAGTAAATTAATTCATAGGTTAGTTAATTTTTTCAGGGGGGGGAACTACGAAAATCCGTTTTTTAAAATTATTGCGAAAAACCAGAAGAAACGTCCTTTGATAAACGTTTCTTCTTGGATTTTTCGCAATAATTTTTTTCATTAATGGTCCTTCGAAAGTACTTTCATTTCCGTGTGCAGAGAATGTTTCTTCTTAACACGTTTCTCAATTGCTGTATACATCGCGGAGAGGGAAGTTCTGGCCGCCAGGTTCCGTCGCCAAATCCCTTGGCAAATTTCTTCTTCCGCATTTCTAGCGGCATAAAAGCATTTTATGTGTATGGAACCTTTTCTTCTTTACATAGATTAGAGATTCTTTGGTTAGAGTAACCTCCATGTACTGTACACACGGGATTTGGTGACATTGATGATGAGCAGTAAATGGGTAATTTTGGTCTTGGCGACATTTTCAAAATCGTGCCAAGGCCTTACCGTATACTATGATTTTACCACCGCAAATCTTTTAAAACTTTTTTTTAATAAATGCCTTAATTGTCATTTTGCAGTAAAATAAAAAAAAAAAATAGTAATCATGTCAATCTAGGGCTAACCATGTAATATAACTATATTCGCTAAATATGCCGTTGATTATTCTAATTCAATTTTTAAGTAATTATCTTTATTTTATTATTATTTGTATATTTGTATCGTTTAATGTTGCTTCTTACCCTCTTAATTTATTTATTATTAGTAAAAAATATTTCCAAATTTCAGGAAATTTTCTCTGGCATAATCCTAAATTAATTATAGCAGTATGATGACATACCATCACGAAATTTAATGCACATATTTTTTTCCTTATGTATGCTGCGAAAATAAATATAAAATACCTCAATTTATTAAAATAGATTTCTTTCTTTCGTTTAGCTGCAGAATGTCTGCAAAAAAAGCCTTATTTTATTCCAGATTGGGAAGATTCTAATCTCAATCTTCAGTGGAGAAAACAACAACTATTATAATTATATTTGTGTTTTCAAGTGTTAAGATGCCTTTTAAGAACATACCTCACGCAAATTAAATTTACCTAAAATCTAACCTAACTATTTAGCATTGCGTTGTGATTTATAAGGACCGGATTAGCCTCGTGTTGAACTGGTGATGATCATGAGTAATAATTAAATAAAACATACATTTGTTATCCAATGTATATATCTTAAATTTTATTAAGTTTCTTAAGTGGAAAGTAACAAAATTATCAAACAAAGTATACCAAGAATAATTAAGAATAAATGTCCTCTGGGATTTATTGAAAATTAAGTGATTTGCTACAATACAAGTAATACCATTTAATTTACTCTTAGCACAGCCAACGTACATTACGCGGATAGACTGGAATTTTCTTGAAACGCACCTGGAAAACCTGGAAAAGTCAGGGAATTTCATTCTCCTGTTTGAGTGGCAACCCTGATTACGTTATAGAACATCATATCGTATCATAAATGGAGAATCCCATGATTTTCTCATTCGAATTATTTGAAGATTCAGGAGTTTATCCAGTGATGTATGTGGATGTCACCTAAAGATGTTTTTTTTTTCCTCCTCTTGAAACAGCGGCCGAGCGATAAAGTCACTGAATGCTGGTAGTTCGTCCGAAGGTCCGAATCCCGCGAACGGGCTGGCTGCATGGGCATTTTCGTGGTTTTCCCCATGTGTAACGTGTATGCGAGCCAGTTTCCCTTAGAAAGTCCTCCACGAAGGCATCCCTCCCCTTAGGCAGATAGCCCTAGTGTGCTTTGTCATAATTAAATAAAAAAAACCAAACCTCTTGATGAAACCAGTCTTTCCTTTCATCTCATACCTTCAAAATGTTTAGCCTCTAAAGACTGATAAAGGCTCTGACCAAATATGATGAAATGGATTGAATTGAATTATTAAGTTACGTCAAAGCAGGGCTATCTGCCTAAAAGGAAGGATGCCTTTGTGAAGAACTTTCTAAGGGAAATCACCTGGCATACATGGTACACATGAGAAAATCCACGAAAACGCCAATGCAACCAGCCTGTTTACCGGGATTTGAACCCCGGAGTGAACTATCAGTGTTCAGCGACTTTACCGCTCGGCCGTTTGTGGGCCTTTATGAAATGGAAGATGATAACTTTATTTAAAATGATTGTCAGAAATATCAAGATATTTCGAAAAGTTTGGATGCTTTTTAATATACATTGCGGAATGCCTAAAGAAAAAGAGCAAGAATAAAGTAGAATGCCTGAAGAAAAAGAGAAGAAAAATACATTTTACAGTAAAATTTAGTATTTGTATTTTTTTTTTTTTTAATTTAAAACTTTTTAATCTTATGATATTTGATTCTTTTACGATTTCAAAAAAAAAAAAAAAAAAAAAAATATCATATATTATATATCTGACTAAATATGAATAACATTTAAGAAGCCAAATGTAAGGATAAAATTGTGTAAAGCAATGGGCACAATGATAAAACTGTTTAAAGCAGTGTATGCAAGTCATCCTAAGTTAAAATGTCGGTCTCTCTTATTTATATATATATCTTTTCTGAACGGAACATTGAAAGGCGTGTTAACTGTGCTTTACTGTATTTTCTCTTTTCTTTTTAATATATGCAGTTTTCAAACGCATCGTAGTCTGGGTTACAAAGTATTCCTCCGAAAGAAATCGCAATTCAAATAAATAAAATCAAATTCTGGAAAATTTATATAATAAATATATTTAAAATGCTCAGTTCGAAGGAATAAATAGAAAATTTTAAAACAATTATCTGAAGAGACAATGCAACACAAACAATTAAAATAAAAGTTAAGAATTTAAAAATTACCTAAAATAATAACTATGACAAAAAAATATATATAAAGAAAACTATTTGAAAAAAAAAAATGCTGCACCTTTATTTACGCTGTTTGAATAGGTAAGTAGAAATTTTTAAAACAGTTATTCGAAAAAAAAAACCATGCAACTTAAACAATTAAAATGAAATTCGAAAAAGAAAAAATGACTTAAAATAATAAGTTATAATTAAAAATATAATATAAAGAATATTATTTGGAAAAAAGGAACGATGGTGACTTTTTTTCCACTCACGGGAAAGGAAACTAGGTTGCCATATATTAAGAATTTCGCCAAGTGAACTATTCTTGGCGCAAACTGACAAAAAAGTGCCAACATAAATTTGTGAATTTCTCTGTAAATTTCGCTCCAAATTTTACAAAATTTCATATTTAGGCGTAATTTGAGTCGTAGAATCGAAATATGTAAAAAAATTGGTATGTTATTTCAAAAAAAGTCCGATTTTGTGTCAAAATACCTATGTTAGAATAGTGCTATATATAAATCTAATATATATCCTAAGTCGCGCTTTCGAGACATGAAGAATGCAATTTGAATTTTGTCAATCGGCCCAGTAGATCGGGAGATATAGGACTGTCCCTTTTTTTTTTTTTTTTTTTTTTTTTGAGCAGTGTACAAAAGATCTCGTCAACTTTTTTGAGAAACTATAAAAATAATGTGTGCATCATATAACCATGGTAGCCTTAAAAATAGGATGCAGAAGTTGCATTTCCATCTTCTCTAAGCTGGTATTCGTAAAGAATATTCAAGCATTTATAGTGTCTCTAGAAGACTACTTAAGTTAACCTTAAGACAATGAAGTTCTGCCTCTTTGAGCAATAGTGTGGACAAAGAGCTTTAAGATCAATGTGTCACTGGTAAATGATCAGAAGGGGATAGAAAAATTTTACTCAACTCTGTTTTAAGAACCAAATACCCAATAAATAAGCCACGATACGTTAAGGAGATTGAATAGAAACAGCTTTGAAAGCTACAAGTAGAATATTCAGGCAAAGAATCAATCTTTGCCAATCTTAGTTTTATAAACGGCGGTTTTCCGTTGATTAGTATACATCTGCTTTGGTTCCTGAATATTCGAATGCAATAAGCAGCTGATTTTATTAGCAAGCTAGTTTAATAAATGGTGGATAGTGTATGTATATATAAGTGCTTAGAAAATAGAAAGCATATTTTTAAGTGATAAAGCTCATTTTATTCTTCCTTATAAAAATTTAGGTAGAGAGATATAAACTTTACAGTGGTGAAAGATATGAATTATCTATATACTACATTAATCTTGTAGTAGTGATACTTAATTGCTGTTCTTTTAAATTTCAATTATTTTATGTTTTTAATATATATTTTAAGGAAAGGGGGTAGCTTTAAAATTTTAATTACATAACTTTTACTGCCGAAAAGTAAAAATGTCTTTAAGTCACAAATTATGATGCAATAAAAAGTACTTTTCTTTTCTAGCTTCAGTTTATAGTAAAATGTATATAATTTAGGATAAAAAATTTCATTTTTAGCTTATGTTTGAGATTTTAAATTATATATTTGTATAATTAAAGAAAGGAGAACAAACTAAAAAAGACCTTTGTATATATATAATGCTTAACATTTTAAATCTTATTTCTTTCATTAATATATAAAAAAATTTCATATACAGTAAGACCCCGCTTAACGCTGTTTCGGTTTAACGCTCTTTTATTTCAACCCGGGGATTCTCCGAAATTGTGCGCAGCGCTAGGTTTCCAAATAACATATCCGAAACAGTGTAGTTGCGTTTCTTGCTTGGTGGACGCATTTTTATCATTTGAAACATTGTTGACATTATTGTAAGTTTAAATTTGTATAATACTATAACGATTAATACAGTGACAAATATTATGATCTTTAGTTTTATCATGGGTGAAAATAAAAAACAAGAAAAGAAAGCAACCAGAAAAAGCATTTCACTGGAAACTCAATGCAAGTGATTAGAAGATTAGATTCTGGTGAATGTCAATCTCAAATTAGTGCTGCATTGATTTTGGCAACTTCAACAATAAGGACAATTCTTAAGAATAAAGAAAAAATACTGTCATCGGCAACTTCAACTACGTCAAGCTCTGCAACTAGAATTACCCGTTCTAGAAATAACATTATAGAGGAAATGGAAAAACGACTGTCTATACGGATTGACGACGAAATTGAACGCAATATGCCATTAAGCCAATCTATCATAATGCCTTCTTACCAAAAAGGCAGAAAATTGGAAACCCAGAATAGACTGAATGATCTGACTGAGAATTTTATTTGTTTTTAAAAGTATATGCGTTTATATTGTTTTTATTTTTGTAAGAAATAAATGTTTGATTTTATTTTTATTAAAAAAAACATTATTAAATTTAATGCCTAACCATTTTTTATCCGCCTTCCCCTAACCCCATCATTTACGTGTTAAGATAGCCTCGCTTAGCACTGTTTCGCATTACGCTCTACTTCGATGGAACATATCCCCCGCGTTAAGCGGGGTCTTACTGTAACATTAAAATATATGATCTTATAATGTGATAGATATTAGTCTTAAAATGCAATGAGATATAATGATTGCTACACAAAAACTATTAAAAAGAACATTTATTAAATCTTAGAGAAAATATAATCAGTTGTTTATAAAAAAAAAAGTGTTAGACAATATGAATTTAAAAAAGAATTTGCATCAGTTATATCTTTAAAAAACTATAGCATAACACAATTCAAAAACCATTCTTTTAACAAATGTACAGAGAACATTTTTTTTTGTGATATTTTTGGAAATGAGAAAAATACAGAAAATTCTCATTACATAAATAAAACATAGCCTTTACATTACAGTAATTAAGCAGCATGATTTAAAATATGTCGATTAAGATCACCTTCATTCTTAAAACGTTTTTTACATATTACACATGCATGAGGATTGACATGATAAGTCCCAATATGACGATTAAGACTTGACAAGATATCAGTGGAATATGGACAATATAAACACTTGAATGCACATTCAATATCCTGCCTATCATAACCTGTGCATCCACTCATCATGAAAGTATGAGTATCTTCATTTTTCCAGACCTCTACAAAATAGAAAAAGAGCAATTAGTTATATACATGTATGAAAATTTAATACATATATTTAAGTAAACATGATTAAATTTGATTATTTTTCAAAATTAAAAATCATATTTTCAAAATTAAAAAAAAAACTATTAGTTGCCTGCAAATACTTAAGATCACATTTTATAGCTAATCATATCAAATATGCATAAGTATGAAAATACAATCTTGCCATCAGTCTGGCTTTGAAACATGCTTTAGCCAGTATATTTATTACCTTCCTTCATTTTAAGAATGAATGCTTTCTTTTTAAAAACTTTGTTTCTCTTTCTAAGAAATGACTTTTTAAAGTTTTATTTGCAAAAATAATAATGATCACAAGAAGAAATGCATGACTTATAATGTTTTTGGCAACAGGTGCTTATTCAACAATGAAATGAACGCAATTTTCTCTTTTGTAAATAAAAGTTTTAAAATTAGTTAATGTTAGGCCAAGTATTATGTTGCAAAGCTTGTTAAATTTTAAACAAAGATTAAAGCTTAAAATTTTACATTCAAGTTGCAAAGTATCCATGGTGTACTATAGAATTAATGAAAGCAATGAAAAAAGTTATATGCCCACCAGCGGCCGAGCGGTAACGTCTCTGAACACTGGTAGTTCGGTCCGAGGTTCGAATCTCGCGAACGGGCTGGCTGCATGGGTGGTTTTCCCCATGTGTAACGTGTATACGAGCGAGTTTCCCTTAAAAAGTCCTCCACGAAGGCATCCCTCCCTTAAGGCAGATAGCCCTCGAGTGCTTTGCCATAATCTAATAAACCAAACCGAAAAAAAGTTATACAGTCAAAAGTCGTTAATCCGGACTCGTAGGGACTTCGGCGATTCCGGATTATAGATCATCAGTTTAAATCTCGTAAGATGGCATGCAGAAATTCTAAAATTAAAAATATGAAACTGTAATTTATGAAATAAAGAACAATTATGATCTAAAGGGTATCAAAATTTACAAAAAAAAAAAAAAAAAAAAAAAAAAAAAAAGCTTAATATTTATTTGTTACTTTATTAAACATTTCTTTCAATGTAAGTTGTTTAAGTTGCTTCATTTATGTGATAATACTTTTCTCTTTAATTCTATAAACAGACATAATTTCTTGTTCAGTTAAAAAGTTCCGCTGTTCAAGTCCTGTTAATTGCTGTGCCGAGAATACCGACTAACTTGTCAATCGAAATTTTTTCGTTTTCACTAACCTCTCTGTCACATTCTTCATGTCTTTATCCATTTTTTGCAGCAATTTCACTTTTTGTTTGTTGGACATTGAAACATACTTTCGTCTTGTAGATCCTTTGGAAGTTCCAGCATCAGAAATTCTATTTGACTAATCGAAAGTTCAAGTTTACTTTTATAAAATTGCTCTTACAGTCTGCAAAAAATAATAAGCGGGATCCAATTCAAAGATTAAGGAACAACGCAATCATTAACATTAACTGAAATAGATAAATTAGATAATTTTAGCTTACACCGTCCGTTATACGTGCAGGCGAAAACGTACTTGCGCACACGCATATGCGCAGTAGTCAAGGTCTTACGCGCGCGCGTAAAACGCCTGTGTGCATGTGCTAACGCGGCGCATGAGCAGAAAGTTTTTAGCTTTGAGGGTCCGGATTATGGGTGTACGAATTAACAACTTTTGACTGTATACAGATTTGTATCATTATTTGACTGCGTAAAAGTTTTGATTTAAGATGTTTTATTAATATTAAATATGTAGCATATGCTACATTTTGTTTTACACATTACACAGTGAAAAAATTTCATTTTTAACTTTATGCCATTTTGAAGACAATAATAAATGGTATGAATGTGATTGGAATTAGCAATCCAGTCAGTTGCAGTGAGAAAGACTCAGTGGAAGGAAAAAATAAATTATATATTTTTTCCAATTGACAATTAGAAGGTAATAAATATTACAAGACTTTTGAGAGCGAAATTAATTAAAAATAAAAGCATAAGATTAGCAGATAAGAACTGTATATAAAAAAGAATAGTTCAGATGGGGAAAACATAGCAAAGTAAAAAAAAAGATTTTACTATCAATGTTTCTTGCTTTTTAAAATTTTATCGATTGCTTGCCTTTGTATGGAATTCTTAGAGTACTCCCATTTTGAAAACAGCTATTGCATTTCATGTGTTAGCTTGTCGAAAAATTAGTCTCCAGTGATTTTGCAGATGCTTTCCAAAGTTGCCAACAAATTCATGACTTTTCGGAAGGGTATACAGATAGTCAAAAAATATGAAAATCATCATTTAAGTCATAAAATTCAAACTTACAGGGCTTTATGTAAACATTCATATGAATATATTTATACAAAATAATTAAATCAAGTTGTTTTTTTTAATTATGCATTTAAATCGGACAAATTCTATGTAAAGTGACAGCAGCATGAAATCTTATGCTTCTCGTGTATTAGTATATGACCACCAAAAATAAAGAAATTCAGGGGAAAATTTTTCTTTCTCAAAACAACAAAAGTATTGCATGAAAACAATAATCTAAACAGTGCAACAAAAGCATGTTTTAAATATGTTTTTATCTTTTGATTTCTTACAGAATTTATATATTAAATATTGTAAAACAAAAAAATATTAAATACCAAATACAGCTTTACTTTATTCCAAACAAAAGCACAGATTCAACAAAAATAATATTTTTTAACATTTATAACACCTAGGATACTTTTCTATTAAAGCCATATCAGTTAAAGTTTTTTGGGGGGGGTGCATTTCCTCAGTGGGGTAAGTGTCACCATTTTGGTTTGACTTCGTTCCCAACAATAACTGTCTTTGCAACCATCATTCATTCTATGTTTAATTTCTCTCTCCTCCCTTTTTCTAACTACACTGGATTTTACAAGAAAGTGGTGTTCTACACAAAAAAAGGTTGTGTTCTTCATGAAATTAAAATGTCACTCGAAGCTGAAATGGCTCTGCCAGGAAGGGAAAAGTGTCTAAACAGAGACATATTGGATCATATATTTCTTACATTACATGCTGTGTGTTTCATTTATTTATGGTGTTAGAAGTTAAAATCTATTGAATTTGCTTTCATGAAATGAATCATAACATGGCATATTTACACAACAAAGGTATGTACCAGTTCCTAATTATTTCTTCCAACATTAAAATTAATAAAGCAAGAAAACTATGGAAATTGGTCAAAACTTATTCACAAAAAGAAAAAATCATGTAAGCCATATTTTCTCATAAAATGTGTCTTTTGAGGTTTGTGTAGTAAAGTTTATGTTCCTTGTTGTTATTCCTGATCATTCCATTTCATCTGGTATCCAGCCATGGGGTAAGAAGTAAGCCAAAATAATGCTGAAGATGTATGGTATGGCTTTGCTGAAAAATAGAAATTGATGTTTGCAGATTAATAAGTTACCCAGAAAATCACTAATGCATTTTAGGACCCGTGCTGTTGCATTTTAAAATTCTACAAAAGAGAGTTGAAGCACAGCTTTCACAATTTGGAAATATTATCTGACTTTAGCTTAAAACGAAGGGAGGAGAAATAAATATAATGAATATTTCTAATAAATTTTATGTATGAAAAGATGTAAAAATTTTTAAATTATTGTAGCTCTACTGTATTCTTGCAATTAAGCTTTTAGTACATTACTTAACAATTGTTTCCTAATCATATTATGAAAGTTGTGGGGAGGGGATAGAATGAAAGGAATGAGGAAGCATGATTGATGAGGATTTAGAATTCCAAACATAAGACTAACACAGGTGAAACAAAATGTTGGTATGAAGGCTTTCAAGGAATCTTCTGCCCTAAAAAAATATAAAAAGACACAAATTATTAATAAATAGTAAGCATTTAACAAATAAAAAGTAACTGCAAGACATAGCCAACTAGTAATTTCGAAACAGGCAAAATTTGAACTTTGTTTAATATAGTTTCAAATATGTGAACCTTTCTATTTGAAATCAGCATCAAACTTACATATATTTATTTTGAATTAAAATTTTTAATAATAAGCATTTTAACTCAATGTTTAGCAATACACATTTTAACTCTTAAGTGGAATTGACAGTAATGGGGAACAAGCAATATCTTATTCATTGTATTGTTTTAATATCTACTCACAAACTTGGATAACAATGACCTTAGGTTATCTAGGAATAAACACATTACATTCAAAAAGGTAAAAAGAACAAAACACTTAAAAAAGAAATTAAAATTAAAAAAAAAAAAAAAAAAAAAAAAAAAAAAAAAAAAAAAAAAAAAAAACAAAAAAAAAAAAAAAAAAAAAAAAAAAAAAAAAAAAAAAAAAAAAAAAAAAAAAAAAAAAAAAAAAAAAGATACTCAAAGTTTTAAGCATCAAAATTTTGTATAATGAATCAATACATTATGCACAATAAAATAAATAGGAAAAAGCTTTTTTTTTTAATCCTTTTATTTATTTTTCAACTGATTATTTTGTGAAGTATGCATATAATTCTCTCTTTAACAGAATAATACATTCTCTGCATATTTAAGTCCAGTTGCATAAGATGAAACAAATAAATATTAGCAAACATAATATAAAACAGATGCATTAAACAGTTAAATATCACACTGTTGAAAATAAATAAAATGCTAAAACTTGTATGAATAAAGTTTCATTTTAATAAAGTAATCCTGAAAACCTTTTAGCACACAAGCTGTAGCTTTAATGCACAACTTTTTAGTAACACTTATACAGGGTGCGACAGAAAGAATTCTCTTCCTTGGAAGCTAGTAAATCCAAACCAAATAAGATGAAACGAATAAATATCAGCAAACATAATATAAAACAGATGCCTTAAACAGTTAAATATCACTTCTGAAAATAAATAAAATGCTAAAAACGTGTATGAATAAAGTTTCATTTTAATAAAGTTAATACTGAAAACCTTTTAGCACACAAGCTGTAGCTTTAATGCACAGCTTTTTAGTAACACTTATAAAGGGTGCAACAGAAAGAATTCTCTTCCTT